AGCGACTGATCGGCCAGGGCCAGCAAAGCAGCGAGGGCGGTGCCGACCATTCGCCATGTTGTGGCTGGCCAGATCCGTTGCGACACTGCCTGGCTGAGCCTCGCCTGCGCGAGGCACCCGTCGCAGTGGGTAGCCGGCGACCAAATGCCGAGGCCGCAGGTGTCGCAGTGGGATGCCGCCATGATGCCCGCGAGAAGGTGCCTGAGTGCGCTAGCTGCCTTGCAGAAAACGGCTGCGGGCAGATCAGGCAACATGCAAAGCTAGCAAGTGCACCAAAGCCAGATTGCAAGACCTGTATGGCTAGCGGGCTGCGGTGTCCGCGCGGTTGCGGCGACGACGTGGTTGAGTCGACGTTGGGGTCGCCGGGGCGGCGGGTGCAGGAGTGGCTAAAGCCTCCGCAAGAGCGGCCGGGGACAGACCAGCGCTCGCGGCCAGGGCGTGAAGCTCGTCGCGGCCACCCAGGGCAACGCAGCGCAGCACCTCCACAGCCGCGTCGGCGCGGGCGTGGGCCGAGTCCTGGGGTGAGCGCACGGGCCGAACAAGTGGGCCCGGCGCCGCGCCTGCATGCCGGGCGGCGAAGAGCACGCACGCGAGCAGCACGGGTCGCAAGAGCGCGCCCAACGCAAGGCCCAACAGGAGCCAGCCCCACGCGAGCGACAAGGGTCCGAAACCAGCGGAGAAGTAGACAGGCTCCACGCCAGAGCAAAGCAGGGCCGCATGGGCCATTGCCTGTCGGCAGGTCGGAGGCAGGCTGGCCGTGGCACGGGCCGCCTCCCAGCCGCGTGAGGCTGCCCATGCTGCCGAGGCAAACAGGCGCGCCAGCCAGGGCGTCATGCCATGCGCACGTGGGCAGGGGGTGGTCTAAGTCAACAACTCCAAGGCGAAATGCCTTGAGCCAAAATGGCTTGAGCCAAAATGGCTTGAGCCAAAATGGCTGCCCATCATGCTCTCGTAATTTCGTTGCCCAAAAGGGGTCGCGTGAAAAGCAGGAGGGGGGCGGGGGTGCACGTGAAAACGGTATGACCGCGAAAAGCCGGTATGGCCGTTAAAAAGTCTTTTCGTGGCCGTGAGCCATATGACCGCACAAAGCGTGTTCAAACAGACACCCAGGTGCTGGCTCATGCCCCCCAGCTGGG